GGCACACACACACACACACACACACACACACACACACACACACACACACGAAGCTAAGAAAATCTGGGAAACAGGTCAGCCTGATGTCCCAGCCTGGCCCCACAAAGTCAAAACTGATCTATTAGGAGATGCTCCATGTTAGCTCTCAAGATAGTGCAGCCTGTCTGCCTCCTCCTGCACCCCTAGTATAGAGATATCAGTGTGACCGCCCTGAAATTGTAGCTATATGAAAGGAAACAGCTGTCTGAGGGAGGGAGGCTCTGTGTGTGTGTATGTGGGGGGTGTACAACTTTGCTCCTTTACTAAGTAATAGACACTCGTAGGTAGAGTTTAATGATCAATAAAATAGTGTTCATAGTCCTAGGTGTCCTGCAGACCTGTGCTGTGCCAAGGGCCTGATGCTTTGGGGGTGAATCATTGGTGAAGTCAAGCAGCTTGCTATAATATTATGCAAAGAACCAGGAAGAAATCAACCCTGAGTCCAAGGTGGTGATGGAACCCAGAGTCCGCTGCTTGCATCCAGGACAAAGGCATAAGGTGATCCACAGCAATGGTGCCACATTCTACCCTTATCCAAGACCCCAGAAGGTTGGACACCAGGACTGACTCAAAGACACTAGGCTATTCTTTGGATAATGGCAAAATATAATTTCCAAGAAGAGACAGTTGCCACTCAAGAGCAGAACAAGCCGGAGTGAGGGCGTGGTGCGAGCAGGCGGCTTACCTCCCCCATAGGTCTGGCACAGGTAGGGGAACCTCCATATGTTACCCAGCCCCACAGCAAAGCCGATGCAGCTCAGGAGGTACTGGAGCTTGTTGTCCCATTTGGGCCTTTCGTCCTCCGTGTCCACAAGCGGGTCCATCCCTGAGGCCTGTGCCATGCTGAGCCGTCACGCTGGGTAAGGCCGGGAGGTGGGGGTGTACAGTGGGCACCGTGCAGCACACTAGTCCAGTAGACCCTCTGGAATCTCTGCTGGACTGAGGGAGCTGGGGCAGGCAGCCTCTCCTCCAGGCACTTCTCCATGTATTTAAAGAAGCCCAGTTAATTGCTAACTGGCATCAAGTTCCTGCCTACTGCAGAGTCCATCTTCAATACCCACATCCACCAGCCTACCCGAGGTTAGGCCAGATGCTCCATAGGACCTGCAGGACTCCCAGAATGTCAGGTTCAGATAGCCATTAAACCTATTTATTCTGTAACTAAGCCTGGGATATAAGTAATGCATGCTCACTTTCCTAAGAGACAGCAGAGCAGACCCCAAAGTGTCCTCCTCTCCCTCCAGGGTGACACCTTGAAGCTTATGTGGACAGGAGTGTTGTGGTCCAAAACAATGTGCCAGGACGCTGCTTGCTACTCTTCTCTATGATGCTCATCCCAGTGGCCTCAGCAGCCCAAGCTGCCCATAGTCTTCTCTCATGAAGGGTCTGTGAGTGGACTTCGAGCTCACAGCCTACACCTGCTGCTTTTCCCAGTACATCCTGAAGTTCTCTGGGTTCTCTTCCCAGAATGCACACCACTGTCCAAACTACACATCCACTGTACCAGTCCTATTGGGCTGTCCCAGGGCAGCTGTTATGAGGAGCTGACCTTGCCTTGTGTGGGTGTTGGACATGGTCTCCTGGGACATGAAGCCAGGAGGGGCCTACCAAGTGCTTACTCTTCAAGTACATCTATTTTTCAGGTGTCTGTGGATTTTTTGGCAAGTTCTAAAACCTCCGTGTTTTGAGTTTGTCAAGGAAAAAGCCCATCTGCACCCCCAGGCTGCACCTGCTCCAGACCCTTGGCACAGCATAGATGACCCTGGCTGAGTATAGTCCACAGCTCTCTATGAATGAGAGTTTTGAGGTGTGGGCCCAAAATGCTTCTTCTTCATGTGCAGGGGTTTGAAAGACTTCTTCTCACTTCTATCCTCTGTACTAGTGGCCCCAATGTTATCTGGGGTAGCTGGGCAGGACCAAATGACGCTACCATACATACATGTTTGTGATGCTCTTCAGATTCTGAGTCCCCCCCCACACACACACACAATGCTTTTCTCTGGGAATGGGCTAAAGGCATCTTCGGCCCTTGGGGCCTGTAATCTTTATCTTCCTGGACACTGTTCTGTCAACTATGCAGCCACAATTCCAAGTATGTAGGCTGCAGAAGCCTAGGCTCTAGGAACTGCATTTATAGGAGATCTTATTTTGAGCATGGTGGCAAAGTGAATAAAAGGTTGAGAAGAGACGAGAACCAGAAGGATGTGGAGGGTATGGAGGAGGGTCTTGGGTAGGGGATGCACCCCCTTGAAGTCACCCCCTCCCCATGCTGAGCATGTTTCTGTGATTCTCTCTCCTCCTACTCCTCCTATGTTACCACTTCTGTTCCCAGACGACCTCATTCCCATGCAGCCCCCGTGTCCCAAGTCCAAAGACCTTCTGGTCATCTGCCAGTAGGCCATAGAGTGTGTGAGACTACACTGCCACAGTGTTCTCTTAGTCTGTCCCTCTGGGCTGTAGGAGCCTCCTTAGAGAAATCCTCCAATCCAGAGCTGTCTGAGAGGTAGGGCTGTACCTACTGACCACAGCATTCCTGCAAGTTCTTGGTGCCTGCCATGGGCCCTGATTAGTCTGAGTGACTTCTATGCCTGATAATGACTCTTAACCCAAGAATATAAAATAGGAGTGCTTTATTGAGAAAGATGTACTTTGGACCCATTAACCAACCTGGATTTCTGTAACACTTACAGAGACACAAGACCTAAACATAAGGCATGGACCAGAGATAGTGGACAATTTGGCTCACCTCCATCCAGGCCACACAGGGCCACATGGGAACCCTCAGTGTGCACACCACAGGGCATGTATTGATGGGCACCAATCAGTATTTTTCCAGATGAGGCTTCAGAGGCCCACAGGTGGGACCCACTGAAACTACTAGTGTGAGACCCTTCATATCCCCCAACCACCTTCCTCTGCCTCTGCATGGTTCTTCAGGTCATGACATCCAGGTGATCAGTGAGTATAGAAGGGTGCCAGGTTAGAGGACTCCATGTTTCAACTATAGGAGCTGCACCTTGTGGTGGGTGAAATGTAGCTGTGTCACCAAGTAGGAAGAACATGCATGATATCAGGGCCCACACAGTTTCTCACCCTTGTTTGTGAGAATTTTCAAGAAGTTCAGTTCTATTTAAATTTGGTCTTTTCCATGGAAAGAGAAGGGCAGTAGCTTGGTGCAATAGACATTCCAAGTCCCAAGTACCTGTCACTGAGAATGGATGTGACTCCAGAAACAACCAGCCTGTTGGGGAAAGGGACAGGCATGGCCCTCTGTGGCTTTATGGACTGCTGCAAGACTGAGGACTTCTAGGCTTCACAGTCACCAGGGTGCCCAGGACTCTTGGAGTCCTCAACACAGTGGCCACAGCTGAGTTACCCTGTAATTCTCCTTTCCCAACATTTGGCTAAAGATTTACAGGCTCATGCCCTCTTCAGAAGTACACAGGGTGGCTCCCACTTCACCAGAGAAGGGAGAGTCAGCTTGGCTGATCAGCAGCCTGTTCAGTAACCAGTGATTAAGCAGGCATTCAGGGTTAGGGTGTGCCAGGTCTGACTGAGACAATTCTCAGCCTTGCTAGTCCACCAGCTTCCTGTACTTCTTCTTAAGGAGCAGAAAGGCCCAGACTTCCAATTCGGGGGCCTTGTCCAGCACTCACAGCAAGGGGCAGGGGATCAGCTGAGAGTGGGCAGGGACAACGTGCCGAGGAGCCAGGCCAGCGGTATAGCCTCACCTCCTAACTCCTACTCAGAGGGAAGGGGACCAGCCTGGGGCCTCCACAACTTCACTTTTGGCTCTCTGCCAGAAATTTGCAGCACAAGGTGGGTCCTGAGCTTTGTCTGTCCCCAGATGGTAGTCCAAGCCCTACAATGAGGGTAAGCTGAGGGCAAGTAGGCACTTCCATCATGAACATGTAAAAACATTTTCACACATGCGCCATCTGTACAAAGATAGCATAGTCATGTGCACATATCTGTATGCAATGCACAGTCATAAGTGTATATACATGTACATGCATGTACATATACAATACACAAAATTCACATGTGAAGATACACACATACATGTATGCACATAGGTTTACGAGAGCATGTTTATATATTTATATACACATGTTTATAGATGTACATGTGTGAATATATATACATGTGTGCACATATGTATTAACACATGAGCATATATATAAACATACAGATAATACCCATGTGCATATACACATGTATACACAAATATATAGGCACCTCCCAGTGTGTATGCACAACATGCATATACAAACTCATACTTACACATATACACATTTGTGCATATGTACCACATATGTACATACACATCTATATATACATGTGTGCAACTGCTATATACACATAAACATGCCTATGTATCCCACATGTTTGTGTAACACTTGTGTACACATCTGTGTGACATATGAATACATGTATGTATACTCACACATTCACACACATTACAGCCTGCTTCCCCCAAGGGTCCTGCCCCTTTCCCTCCTCCACACATCATCTTCTGCCTTATACCGGCTAAGCCCACTCAGTACTTCAGGTCCCCATTCACAGAGGCTGTGGACAGCGTATTGACCAGCCCGTGTTGGTCCCCAGACTTCTGGCAACGGTTTCTGATGAGCTTGTAGATGGCAAAGCAGGGGATGGTGAGGCTGGGCACCCCGGCCACGATGACCACCACTGCATACACCCAGTTGGGATATAGGACCTTCTGCAGTTTTGGAAACTCCTCCTGGGGAGAGATGCACAGTGAACAGATGGGGACGAGGTCTGCAAATCCTCATGATCTCACCTTCCACTGCCCATGTGCCCCATTGCCTGCCTCTTTCCCCTCAGGTCTCCTCCCTCTCCACCCAGCCACTGCCTGGGCACTTACATAGTCAGGATCCCAGATGCTATACATGAGCTTTTTGTTGACCTCAACTACAAAAAAGAAGAGGAAGATGACCAGCATGATCAGTGGGCTGACCACTCTCCATGTCACTTGCCAGAAAATGTTGGGCTTGTGGCCGATCATGAACTCGATGTCCTTGTTGAACCTGCAGCAGAGGACAGAGGACAGGGTCACTGGTGGCATGAAGGCAGATGGCTGGCCAGTTTTCTCTATCTTGGACAATGGTTGTCATCTTGGGATATTGTGCCTTTCCTTCCCTTGATAAGGTCCTCTAACTTTGCAGGCAAAGATGAGCCTGAGTAGAGGGGTCCTAGGTTGTCAGCATCTACCTCTCAAGCTTCTTAGAATCTCCACAGCACTCTGATGGGAGTTCATCACCAGAGGTCTCCTATCCTCACCCACTTTCTGTCATGGACAATGAGGACAGTGGGCCATCAGACTTGGCTCCCTCCTGAGCAGCCCTTGTGTAGTTAGGTGACGCCCACAAGACCTGCGCAAAGCCTGCTCTGTGGCAGAACTCCCTTCAGCAGACAGATCAGAATTTATTTATTACGATCAGAATGAAACATACGGTGACGGCCTTTCTTCACATCCTTGGGCAATCACTTCCCCATGCTACTCACAGTGCTGTGGCATTCAGACCACTGTGCATGTGCTAGCTACAACCATGTTTCAGTTGACACATTCCTTGTTGATGCCCCCAAACATCACAAAAGTCAGATGGCTGGCCCTGTGCACCTCAGCCTCCACATTGCTTCCTCAGCCTATTAGAATCAGGTCTCCCTTGGGCCGACATAACCTTGTCCATGTCCCATGTGGACTTTCATTTTTCAGTGACTTGAAATGGGTTTTCCAGAATAGGACCTCCAGCAAAGGGCTTACATCAACTTAATTTTAACAACTACTGACAGATCATTCTAGAGTGGTGGAAATACAGCTTCTCCTGAAGATGTAGCTTCCCAAATCCCTGCCCAGCAATGGCAATGATGCCCTGAGATGTTGGGTCAAGCCTGAGTTTTAGATAGCTGCTGAGCCCACCTCCCCTCTAGAAGGGCCTAGTCACAATTCCAGAGGTACCCCTGATGTAGACCCCAAGTAGATGAATAGCACCATCTTGCCTCAGGACATGTGAAGTCCATGTCCTACAGAGCCTGAGTCCTGCTGCCTTGCACGAATCCCCTCCCCTCCCTCACTTCCCACCTTCTCCCTACCTTTGCTCTGGTCCCAGTGCTGCTCCTGGGGCCCCAGACTGAAGGCTATATTTAGAGTTAGAATATATATATATATATATATATATATATATATATATATATATATATATATAAAGTTGTGTAACCAGACGTGTCTGAATTTTCTTTTGCATGCTCTTTCTCCACACCCTAAGTTACTACAAGTCAGTTTCTAGTACACCTACAAATTCCTGTCTTTGCATAGGTATCAGCGGCTATTGGGAGTTAGAGGTACAGCTTAGATCACTTTTAATAAGAAAGGAGGCATCACTTCAGCAAGGCTAACCCTTCATCCTCTTGCCTTTCTCCACCTCTTGAACCAAGTTCCAGGACTAGGCCAATGCCAGCCCACTCCTGTGAAGGAAGACTACATTCACTTGCACAATAGTGAAGGCTTTGTGCCATGGCATGCCTACCTCCCTCATCCCTCCTGGGCTGGCCCAGTTTAGCAAGGATTCTGCAACTCAGCTTTTCTGCTGAAGATGGCCTGTTGCCACAGAGCTGCCCCTCCTACCTGTCCACTCCATACAGGTAGACGACAGCAAACATCTCACAAAAAGCGATGATTAACAGAGGGATGGAGCCAGCATAGCTGTCCAGGAGGGAGAGCCAGTACTGTCCCGAATTCAGTGTGAAAATGAAGGCGATGAGATATGTCCCCAAGCAGATGAGGCCTGTGGCCAGACAGGGAGCAGAGCTGTGGCTTCAAGGCTGCTCAACCCAGGGCTGCACCCACCACCGCCATGAGGAACATAAGCAGGTCTCCCGTAGACAGTAGGCGTCACACATACCTGTCATCAGTTCTTTGGGCCACTTTTTAGGCATGAGATTGAGGTCCTGAAGGGGTACAGTCACACCCTCCATGTTCCCAAACATGGACGAGAGGCCCAGGCAGAAGAGCATGATAAAGAAGAGCACTGACCAGAGCGGGGACACGGGCATCTTCGTGATGGCTTCCGTGAAGACAATGAAGGCCAGGCCTGTGCCCTCCACACCCTGCAGCAACACACAAGGTCTCCTGAGCTCTCTGTCCCTCCCTTCCTCTCCCTCGACTGCTTCCCAGAGGCTGAAGGTAAATCCCTATTGTTGAAGATGCCATGCACTTTGGACACAGGACTCGGAGGAGTCCAGCTGGATATGACCTGAAAACCTCCTCCCCAAGGACCAGCTTTCACAGCACCAAAGGTACCGAGCAAGCTGCCAAGGGAAGAAAGCAAACCATGGTCCTCCTCAGCTTGTGAACCACAACTACAGGTTCAATAGCGGCATTCATCTCTTGGCATTAACCACCAGCTGTTGAACTGGACTGAAGGCCTGTTCAAAAGGGAAATCATGCCTGGCACTGGACTAAGCCAACTCCCCCAGACTAGTGAGGTCATGGATCTAAAAGAAGAACTTATGCTACTTTACTAAACTGGCATACTTCCTAACTACATGCTAAGTATCTATCCTTATACCCACAGATAACTGTGGTCTTCACTTCTCTTCACTCAGAACTTCCCTTTGCATCAGATAGAGACCCCTACAGAAAACAACAATTGACAAAAATGCAGGGAACAACTGATCTTGGGTACCCATCTCCAGTGGATGCATTTACAACACAACTCTGTACCCAAGGTTCAGGGAACATTATGAAAGAGGGGGCAGATGTAAGAGCCGGAGGACCAGGAAAACAGCTGTGGTGTTGCCTTTTATGACAAGGAAGCAGCATCCATGACACCTGCCTAAACAAGACCCAAACAAGAACAACACCAATAGACATGCTAATGAGATAGGGGGGAATCTAAATCTCACTTGAGGGGAGAGGGAAAGGAGGCAGGCACCCCTAAACAAAGAGTTACAGGCAACTAAGGAATGCTGAGAGCAGGAGAATTAGAATTCCCCAAAGATAAGCCCCCTAGATACTTATCCAATACCAAGAGTATTGGAACAACCTGATCATCCCTGAAATAATATCCATCCATACAAGCAACAGTAAACGGACTAAGCAGGTTGTATGTATGTATGTATGTATGTATGTATGTATATATATATATATATATATATATATATATTACATACACATACATATATACATATAATACAGATATGCTATACATACATGTATATAAAACAATCAAAGAAAAAGAGGCCATGAATCTGAGAAAGAATGAGGGGGAGCATGGGAAGGGTAGAAGGGAGGAGCAGGGGTGTTATAATTGATTTGAGAGGCTGGAGGAGTCAAGTCCTGCCAGTGCCAGGAGGGTCATGATTGGTTAACAGTGGTTCCTTCCTCCTGCCTGATTTTTAACTTCTGCCACTTCTGGGGGCAAGATGCTAACTGAGCAACCCCTGTGTACGACTCACAAAGACCAAAGAGGATCCCTCCCCTTACCCACACCTACCTCCGAAAGGAAGGAGTTCATGTTACAGGTCTGGAACTTGAGCTGTGCGTAAGCCTCGGGATTGGTGGCGTTGCACCATTGTTGAAAGGCCTCGAAGTTCTCGGCGGTCACATTGCCCTCGGGCAGGTCAAACGCATTGATGAGAGTCAGGATGTTCCTGGGAGAGGTGAAAAAGGCCGCTGTGCATCCTCCTCGGTGGGAGCTTCCCAAAGGCTGAACCGGCAAGGGTTGGGCAGAGAGGAGTGGGGTCTACGTGCACGCCCTCTGGGTACAGCCCAAGGTGCTAGGGTGGCAACTCACGTGTTGACACAGTCGTCAAAGCGCTCGGTGGCTCGGAAGCCAATGATGGAATAGACCACGGTGGCTGCATACACAGAGGTGAAGCCATTGATGATGGACACGATCACAGAGTCCCTCTCACAGTTGTTGCTGGGGACAAGAGTGGCGTCACCACAGGACAGCATAGCTGATTCACAGCTGATTCACGTGCGTCCCCTGGCTGGGCGTCAGCACACAGCACAGCAGAACCAGTGTGTCCAGGGCTAAGACTGGGTTCCTGAGTGCTCACCGATGACTGAAAGGCTACCCAGGTCCTGTCACCTGGGCACATGTGGGCACTGAGAACTCAAAGTGACCAGAGGGCTGTGTCCTGACCCTGAACCAAGCTGCTATCTTCTTTACTGTGTTCTAATCTTCCCACCCACGCAGAGCACGGTTATGGAGACCCCCTGAAAGCCCAGGATAACAAGAGTTGGAGATTCCTGGAATCAAATCCTACCTTAGGCCTGAGGCAAGCAGTCAGCCTCACAGAAGGGACAGGCCCTGACCTCTCACTACCAAGTGCAGAGTCCTCATGGGCAAGAGAAGGAGGCCAAGTCAGGTTCTCTACTGCTTGAAACTTATCTCCCAACCCAGGCCTCTTTAAAGATGAGGTTTTACTTATTTAAGCCATAGTGTTTTGTTTATAAGAGCAATTATGAATTAGTATTTATGAAAGCAATTCAGTCTATAGTCCCAAGGCTGGGAGAATCCAGGGCTGGGTAGGCTACCTGCCCGAGATAAAAAGGAGGAAAAGAGATCCTAGAATTTTCCAGATGGGACTTGACCATTCTGGCTGGCATTTGGGGCAGAGTAGAGCCACCCTGGCCATCTGGCCTTGCAGTCTGTGAGCCTCAGAAGGATGGATGCTCACCCACAGCACAGGGTGAAATGTCCTAGGGTCAGGTTCCAGATGTATTTCTGACCAGCCGAGAGCCCCGTTTTTATGCTCTGACACAGCACAGAGCTGCTCATTCCTTACTCTCAGGGTCATGGAAGATGTGGCCACAGCATGGGGGGTGACCCAAGGCTTTGGCCCTGTTCAACCCCACACTGACTCCGATTGGATCCTCTGGAGTCCCGTCTGGAGACACTCAGCACACCCTGAACATTCCCTGATCTTCTTACTCCGGACTTCCAACCCCAACCCCCAACACAGCCGTCATCACGCTGCCCGTGCTGTGTCAAAAGCAGAGCACACAAGCCACCAGGAACGTGCATGTCAAACTGCAGCACGACACCCCACCCAAAAGGAAGACTGCCCCCAACACACAGACAAACACAGAAGTTGGCAAGGAAGGGAAACTGAGGCCACCCTGCACAGCCGGGGGGGACTTGTGGTACAGTGCTGTGGAGATCGGCCTGGTGGGTCCTGAGATGGCTGGTCATGAAGAGGCATGAGAGTGGCAGAGTGGCATGTCTCCTCCGAGGCATTCACCAGAGCACAGCAACAGCACATGTGGCACAAGCACCATCACAACTATAAAAGTGGAAGCCAAGTTCCCGCAGGTGGATGGGAAAGCATAGTTCGGCTGTGGTCAACCAGCTACATCGGACCGTGGCACCAACACACTCTACATCAGGGAAGCATCGGGGCAGTGAGAAACAGGATACCCACCCCACGCCACCAGTTCTACCCACAGGAAACACTCAAAGCAGGGGTGGAAACAGGGAATTGCTATCAGTGGAGTGTCTGTCTGCTCATGAACACGCTCTAGAACAAATAACGGTGATGACTCCACAACTGTGTGAATATACTAAGGCCATCAGACTCATGTGAGTGAACTCATGTACGAAATACAAATGGAATAAAAATGTCATAAGGAACCAACCTAGGCCCTCTGCATGTGTGTGACTTGGTCTGTAAGGCTCCTAGCACTGAGATCATGACCTGTCCCTGGCGCTTAGCTGGCTTTTGGGGACCTGTTCCCCATGCTGGATTACCTAGCTCAGCCTTGATGCAGGGGGAGGAGCTTGGTCCTGCCTCAACTTGATATGTCATGCTATGTTCAAGCCTGTGGGAGGCCTGCCCCTTTCTGAATGGAGACAGAGGAGGATTGGGTGGATGGGGAGGGGGTAAGGGAACGGGAAGAGAGGAGGGAGGGGAAACTGTGGTCAGTGTGTAAAATAAAGGAAAAAAACGTTAATTTTTAAAAAAAAAAAAAAGAAGAAGAAGAAGAAAAACCTGCCTAATAGAGTATGTGGTTTCAGAGTTAAGAATTCTCCAGTGCTGTCAGGCCAGAATTTAAAGTATACACACGTGTAGTATCTGTCTGCAGCCCAGTGTTCTGTATTTCGTGTGACCTATAACAGTCTACTGACTGATTATTTACACACATGTGAGAGGGAACAGTCCTCTCGGTCTCTGTGATGAGTTAACAGTTGACATTTTAAGCCTGGCTGCTACAAACTGACAGGACTGTAAAAAAAAAAAAAAAAAAAAAAAAAAAATGTCATAAGAATAATTCACCTTTGCCCTGGAGGAGGTGGGATTGGGGGGTGTGCTGGGGGAAGGGGAGGGGGTGGGAAGGGGGAGAACAGGGGAACCTGTGGCTGATATGTAGAACTGAATGGTATTGTAAAATAAAATAAAAGGAAAAAAAAAAAAAGAATAATTCACCCACAGATCCCCTCAGGCTCCACCTGGAGCGGCACTTCCAGGGTTACCTTCTAGAACATTCTCTGTGGCACCGGAGGAGGCCTTCTGAAGCCTGGGGCCCATCAGTCAGTGACTAAAAGGCATGGTCCGGATGGAACACCTCCCCATCCACCCAACTCCAGCATATCCTCTGAAGGGCCTGCGCTCCCAGACCACAGGGACCACGCCCTCCGAGAAGAGATTCTCCCAGTGTCATCCCTGTTGCAGACCTGCCCTTACTGTCAGGTCCTGTCTCTGCTCTACCTCTGTCTGATGCCTGAGTCTCTCCTTGGGCTTGCCCACCCTGAGCCTATGAAATTCTATTTGATCTACCAGGATCCTCCACCCACTCCCTGCCCAGCTCTGGCTGTTCTCTCTTGGGCTTATCACCCCAAACCACCTGACTCCACTGCTTTCCCTGACCCACTGCTGGTCACAGAGGACAGGTCTGGTTGCACCGAGCCAGGCTGGTGCTCGCTAAGCCTTTGTGGGAGACAATAAACAGCACCTTCATCCTCCCTGGATGTTGGGGGTTCTTCATAGCTTAGGACCCTTCCAGAAGGTGTCAGGAAGGGATGCATGGCTGAAGCTGGCAGGGTCACAGCCTTCAGGATCTGACCTGGGTTCAGGGTGGGCTTTGAGGGCACCAATATACCTGGGGCCTGGAGTCCTGAGGCAGGCTGGGAACAATGTGGGCATCAAGTTGGGAGTGGAGGAGGGAGCATACTAGACCAAGCAGCAGAGATCATCCAGGGACCCAGCCAGGGGAGAGCCTCTCAAAGCCTGTACCTGCTTTTCCTGCCAGCCCTGTTCTGTGCTTAGACAGGACTGGTCAGAGGACAACTGCTGAGTCACACTGGCCAACACCGGTGCTGGGTGCTGGGCTTTGGAAGGCACCTTCCTCCTTTTCCTTCTTAACTGCACAGCAGAATTCCTCAGGCTCTGACGGGGAAACTGAGACTCCAGCACCAAGGTGCTCCTAGGGGCCCCACAACCCCTATCCCCGAGGGCCCTCCCTCCAACTCCATACTCACTGCACAGGGTTGTAGCTGGAGAAGGAGATGAGGCCTCCAAAGGCCAGTGAGAAGGAGTAGAAGACCTGAGCACCTGCATCCAGCCATGTGTTCGGGTTGGCCAGCTCTGTAATCTGCATACAGGGACTCAGCTGTGACTACAGGGACCAGGCCATACCCTCCACTAGGGAAGAAGTGAGCCCCTTCCCCAGCAGTGGATGTCATTCTACACAGAGGAAAAAAGTCAAGCCACCCAACAATCCTCACCCAGGGTACATATGTTAATGGCCCACGAGTAGGCTGACCCCTTGCCAGGCCCTTCTGAGCCAGGGCATTGGCCTGGGCATCAGGCAATCGGCTATCACCATATAGAAAGGAGCTGTCTTGAAGCCAAGAGAATGAAGCGTGGACTTCTTCCACGGGTTCTGAAGCCCTGGGGTAGTCTGCCGGTTGATGGCAGAGACTCACATTGGGTGTGAAGAGAAAGACAATGCCATTGGTGGCACCCTTCAGAGTCAAGCCACGGATGAGAAAGATGGTCAGCACAATGTAGGGCAGAGTGGAGGTGATGTACACAGCCTGTGAGGGAGAGCAGAGTAGGGAGACACCACGTGGGATATAGTCAGAGGTCAGACATGGAAAACAAGGCAGACCTTCCCCCTGCCAAGGTCACCCCAACTCAGTGCAGGGGAGACTGGGCCTCACTCTTCCACTTTCCAGTTTCTCTTACTATCTGATTCAATTGGAGAGAGATCTTGGATTAATCTTAGATTTTACAGTGTGTGCCTGAAAGGCATCTCAGACAGCACAGAATCAACTGGCCTCCAACTTAGGCCTCGTGTGTGTAAGGAGAGACGACCCTCAAGATTGGTGGCAAGAGGCTGCATGCTCAGCTGCGCACTGTACCTTTCCAGTGGTCTCGATGCCACGAATAATACACACGTACAGCACACTCCAGGCACATGTCAGGCAGAGCAGGATCCACCACTGGATGGAGCCTGAATCACTGATGGAAGTGGAGATGTTGAGAGTCTCTCGGTACCAGAAGTAGTCCACAGGAGAACTCTTGGCACACTCTTCCACAAAGCCTGTGGAAGCAGATGAGCACACACATCAAGCTGTGGGTCAAAAGTGGGGACAAGCCAGGAATAAACCAAAGAAAATGGCTGCAGGAAACATTAAGTGGCAGACACCTAGCCGGTGTCTGAAGCATTCACAACAGGAATACACTTGTGCACATGAATATAGCTTCACATATACACATAAGAACTCATGAACACACACACACCTGTATCCACATACCACAAACTCTCATATATGTGCATATATATACCTGTTTGTACATAGGTGCTCATCTATGTGAAGTCTGCTAAGAGACACTGTTGGGCCCTGGTGTGGGCCCAGGCCTCTGAGCACTAGCTCCTCCCTGACCCCTGGAAGAAGACCCCTATCACCACTGAAGCAGCAGATGGTCTTTGGGACTCTGTGGCCATGGCCATGCTCATTGAATCTAACTCCATGTTATCTCATATTACCATGGGCACCTCAAAGAACCAACTGGGGCTCTCCTGTAAGAGACCAACCAAGATCCTGGGGAGGGCTTGTCCTTTGACCAAAAGGAGCCCATTCTGAGGGTTCCTGTGAATCCTCAGAACTACTCTGTGGCAGTCAGGACAATGGTTACCAAACAGGCTGCTCATGTCCCTCTGCAGCTGTGTGTATCTCTGTGAGCCAAACATGTCCCATAGATCACGGGCAAAGATCTGTGTCTCTTTGTCTCCAGAGGAGAGGGGCCTGATAAGGTAGGGGTGGCAAAGGACACTTGTGGCAGAGGGGCCTCTTTGTGCAGAGACCCAGGGAGCATGCTGAAGGGAAGCAGAAGGTCTCCTACAGGAACTTGTACCCTGGCTGGTGACTTGAGCCACCTGCACACGTCCCATGGCTCTTCTCCTGATGGTCTCAGACATATGACCAGTATGAGACATAGGACATCACCATGTCTAAGGCTTTCTTCTTGGACTGTGGACTTCAGTTTTGTTTTGTTGTGAGAGGGTCTCATAGTGAAGCCCATACTAGCCTGGAACTCACAGTGTAGGTCATGCTGACCTCAAACTATAGCAATCCTTTTACCTCAGCCTCCCAAATGTTGAGGTAATAGGTGTACATGTGTGTGTGTGTGTGTGTGTGTGTGTGTATACAAGTGTATGTATGTTCACATGTGTGCAGGTTCAGGTGTGTGAAGGTTTACACACCTTTAACACACTCAAAATTGATTCAGAGATCAGTTTTGAGTGTCATTCCTCAGGAGCTATCCATCTTATTTTTTGAAGCAGGATTTCTCACTGAGACCCGGGCTCACTAATTAGGCTAGACTGGATGGCCAGCAAGGCCTTAGAATCCTCCTGTCTCTGCTTTCCCAGCTCACTGGCATTACAGGTGACACGTGCTTGACTTTTTATATGGGTTCTTGGTATTGAACTCAGGTCCTCATGCTTTTATGGTAAGCACTTTAAACTGACTACACTATCTCCCTAGCCCTACAACATGAATTTTTATATATTCTGTTGCCTTAGAGATGCTCTGGTTTTTGCTAACTCTGGTCTCTAAACATTCAGTTCTTACAAAATGAAAGGATATCTGGTCACAAGGTATGATTTCTTCCATTCTACAAGCTATAGCATGTCAGATGGTGTGGCTGCACTCCCACTGGGCTACACCTGGCCTGGCTCCAGAGAGGAGCACCTAGTCCTAATCCGTCTTTGGTTTAGCAGACACCTTTTGTTTCTCTTGTTGCCCTCTGTGAATCTTGTCTCAGAGTCTGCCAAGTATACAAAGGCCTATGCAAAACTTGGTTCAGGAAACCCGGAAAACTGTGGTACCTAATGAATTTGTACTTGGCACTGTATTTTTGGGAGCTTCTTTCATGTTGTTTTGAACATGTGGAAATCAACTGGCTAAAGTGTAAATATAGAGAAAAAATAAAATAGCTTTGGGCAAAGGGAAAGTGTTTCAGTTCTTAGAGACTGGATCCTCCTGCATCCTCAAAAGGCTAAATTCACTCTTAAGATGCCTCTGATTTTTCTTTCCACAGATCCACACGAACCCACACACCATGCTGTGACACTTTGAGACAAGATGGGACAGAGACAGGGATGGCATTTGCATTCCACTGTCTAGGGCCAAGGGCTCACCTGTCCGGTTGTCGTTGAGTGGACACTCACTCCATGGTAGAGGCTCTTGAAAGGAGTTGAAGAAATACCACATGACCCAGGCGATGATGGTGTTGTAGTACAGGCCCACCATGAAGGATGTGAACATGGAGGCAATGCCTGTGGGGAGGGATGTCACTGTGGAGGGCGCACAGGTATCTCTAGCAGGTGAGTGCATGGATACCCATCTATGCTGTCCCACCCCAGGGACACAGTAGGACCTGGGGAGGGGGCTGCTCCCCAGCCTGCAGAGCAGATACAGCCCAGCTGGGACCTAGAAGTGTGACACCACTGGTATACCTGGCTCTCAGAGTGAGCTCAAGTTCCCAGCACTCTGCACCCTTGCCTGCTCTACCTGTGGCCCCTAGAGATGTATCCAGGCAAGTAGTCACAGAACCCTTGCAAACAGCTTTTTGACAATTTCAGTGCGGGTGGATCCGACTCAGGAAGGCCCACTTGACCCGGGAAAATCTCTGCCAAGAACTAGTGAGAGAAGCAAGCAGAGACCATAGTGGGCAACGGCTCAGCATCTGGGACAACGGGCTGACCTCTAAGCAGTTCATGAGCTTGCTTTTTTGATTGTGAAACTAAATCCAAGTATGTGTGAAAAGAAGGAGAAAAAGAAGGGAAAGGAGGGGGGGAAGTGTAAGAGCCAGAGACTCGGGGCGTGGGTGGAATGAGAGGGGCAGGAAGGGCCTGACATCAGTGGCCTCTGTGTGCAATGGGCTGTCCAGCACTGGGCCTCTGGGATAAACACATCTGAACTCTCTGTCCATGGACCCTGCCCTCCTCTTCCCTGGCTGGAGAGCCCACACCACTGAGCTGCATTCTGAGCTCTCAGTGAGCCATGTCCTCTTAATGAGACTGTCCCCAAGCCAGAGTTTGTAAATGAGTGACCACATCTGGGTTGGGGGCAGTAGTGGGCGTCCTTGCTGAGTGTGCAGGAGTGGACAGAGCAGGCTACCAGCTCCACCTTCTGGCCCTGGAGGTTTTTGCTCTAGGAAAAACCGAATTAACTGCTCTCACCTAGCATCTAGGTCTTCCTTGTGCTCTGGGCTGTGGGAACTCAGGCGACCTCTGCTGGCCTGTCTGTTTCCTGAGGACCATGAGTAGCCTGGCCTAGATGCTGCAACCCGGACTCCCATGGATTCTAGTGAAGGGTTCCTGAGGGTCTCTGTTAGAAAAAGAGCTTGGAACTGATTGTGAAAGCTAAGGAGGAACTAGACTGGCCCTGTAAACCCCAGGCCAGCTGGAAGCACTGATACACACCTACGCCCTTCAGAGCTGGGTGGATGGAGCTCCACACGCCCACACTGCCCTTACGTAGCCGTTGGCCAATGGCAAACTCCAGGTGCAGCAAGGGAATCCCCTCCAGGACCAGAAGGATGAGAAACGGGATCATGAAGGCTCCTGGATGGGAAGAAGCAGGACATGTCATTACAGGTCAGGACACCACCTGGGGACAGGCACTTCAAAACCTTTGTTCTAACGATTAGTTGCCACCAACACCCCTGTGGCACTTGAACAGAACTGGTATGCAGTGGTTAGCCATGTGAGTGGAGCCACAGCAGACTTCACAGCCTGGAAGGATCCCTTAGGTGAACAGTCTCCACTGCCTCCTCACATGTGTTAACACTCCCTGCTGGTTTGAAGAACAGAGCATGTGACAGTGCCACCCTGCTCACTGACAGTAACCCAAAGACACATAGGGCGTCTACTGGCTGAGGATGAGTTGGCCCCAGGCCCCTCACTGACCAGAGCCTTGGGAACAGAGGAACAGAGTTACAACCTCTGAGATTAGCTGCTGTAGGGATGGTGTGTCACTACACGGTCAACTAACGCTAAATAGGCTGTCCGCAGCATGAGAAGGGATGTCTTCACTGGTGATGGTGGAGAACCAGGAGAAGAAGCAAGCACCCTTTGGCTTAGAGCAGGCCCGTTACTGGCGTGTGTTCTCTACTTCAAAGTGTAGTGAGTACAATGATGGTCTCAAATAACCAGCGACATTGCCCTCATCTGTGCAAACCCTACAGGCCTACCAGCTCTAATGTTAGGAAGTGTGTCTCTCCTGTGCTAAAAGAATCTTCAGTGGCATCCTGTGTACTAATTATATTTCTATAAGAACTATGTTAATGAATAAAGTTTACATAATGTATACCACATAACAGTATTGAGCCTAGAGAGGAGGCTCAGAGGATATTGAGCACTTGTTACTCTTGCGCAGCTTTCTTCAGTTCCTAGCATCCACGTGGTGGCTTACAACCATCTGTAACTCCAGTTACAGGGGATCTGACGCTTTCTTCTGACCTCCATGGGCACCAGGCATGCACATGACACACAAACATAATGTAGGCGAATGCTCATATACACACAGAGTAACTGAGTAAATCTAAAAAGAGAGAAAAGAACTGAGCATGGTGAAGAGCTGAGCATGGTGGCACATGCCTTTAATCCTAACAGGTGGATCTCTGTGAGTTCTGGGCTAGCCTGATCTATGTAGTGACTTCCAAAACAGCCAGGACTATGTAGAGACCTTGTCTCAAAAGAGAGAGAGAAAGAGAAAGGGAGTGACGGGGGAGGGAGGGACGGAGGGAGAGAAAGAAAGAAAAAGAATGAAAACAACCACCACTACCAACAGAGTTGAGAAGACAACCTGTGGAATAGGAAAAAAAATTGCAAACTACAAGTCCATTGAGGTATTAAATTTCTCAGAATATTTAGAGAACAAAACTCAAACAAGATCCAACTTAGAAATGTTCACAAATCCCCAAGAGATGTTGACCCAGAGAAGACACACAGATTCTAGTAACACTTGAGAAGATGTTCACATCACTCAGCACGCAGAGAATGTTAAGTCGGAATTATGAGATACTACCTCACACTACAAAAGCAGAAAGGAAAATTATAAGCTCATGCAGAGGGGGAGACTAGAGCCCTCAGTACTGTTGGTGAGAAAGCAGAACGGTGCAACCATCATGGAAAGCAATAGGGTCATTCCTGGAAAAAAATTAGACATAGAACCACCACATGACCCAGCAATTCCATTTCTAGGAACCCAAGAGAAAGCAGAGCCCCAATGAGATATTTGATGCCTGTATTCACAGCAGCACCATTCGGTGGCTGAGTGAATAAACACATCATGACCCATCCGTACAGTGAGATTTCAACACAGGGATGAGGATGGGGGATTTTGTTGAGTTAGGCAAAAGCCAGTCACCAAAAGCCCAAATGGTCTACCATACAGGTCCCTGGAGATGACATGTTCACAGAAACCACAGAACGGAGGTTGCCGGGGCAGGAAGCAGTATGGGGTGGTGATAACAAGGACATTTTCAGTTGGAGAGGATGAGAGTTCCAGAGATAGACAGTAGTGATACTCTACACTCAGATGTACTTAAAGCCACTGAACAAGATGTTTAAAAATGGCATAGAGGTACATTTTAAGAAACATCTTTTTCTCACACAGGGAAGCTGAGAGCAGAAAACGCATGAAGCCCTCTCTGTACCTACAGTGGCAAGCTTCCCATCACAATTCCCTCTCACCTGAGGGACACTTTAGCTATCACATTTGACCTCGGATTTTGAGTTGTTAAGAATTATCCTTTGAAGTATGCTGCTGTGTGGCCATTTGGAAACAGTGATAGGCCGGTGCTGGGGCATGATGGTTACACTGTTCTGCTTTCTCACCAACAGTACTGAGACAGAAGATGACCTACCCCAGAACGTGCCTCATGACAACAGACAGACTAAACAGTTAAGCACTTGGGCACTGTTTTAAAATAAGGATAGACATGTGCTGCCCTACGGAAAGTACAGCGTCTGTGAAGGCCAGGTTTCATCTTTGCACGTATCTTGTAGGAAAGCCAGCACCAGACTGCTGCTGACGGGGAAGAGGTAGCAGGAGCTCTGGAGAAATCACCAGGCTTAGGAGAATTTTCATATGCATTTACCCCCAACATCATCACATTCCTTCTTTTTAGAAGAACACAGGGAGAGAATTGAGGCTGAGAATTGCCACTGCTTCTATTGAAGGTCTCGATGAGGCTGTATGGGGACAAAGCTCAAGCTGAAGCCACAGCCTAAGAACCCAGATTCGGGAGCAGCCTGGACTCCCCTCAACACTTAAGAGCCTCTAGCCACTGACCTGGGATCCTGTCCTGCTAGAACTCATGGCAGTCTCTGGGGAAAGGTCCAGAGAAAAAAGCTGTGAGCCCACCACGGTCCCATACATGTCATATCCCTTCGTGCCCAGGTGTCTCCGGCACAGACTCCAGGGCCTGTCACAGAAGAACACGAAGACATCACAACATCCCAACACCACTCAGGATGCAGCCTTATCTCTGCCAGGCCAGGGCACCATCATCTGTTGTATGATACTTTGTGTTCTGACAAATAAAGCTTGCCTGGAGATCAGAGGGCAGAGCTAGCCACTAGTTAACCATAGAGGTCAGGCAGTGGTGGCACACACCCACCACCTAGCACTTGGGATGAGGAAACAGGAAGATCAGAAGTTCAAGGTCACCCTGGGCTACACGAGATTGAAACCAGTCTAAAAGAGGAATAGAGCCAGGCGGTGGTGGCTCAAGCCTTTGATCCCAGCATGTGGGAGGTGGAGACAAAAATATAAGGTGGGTGGAGACAGGATCTCCCCCATTCAGTCTGAAGATTTGTAGAGACAGGATCTCCCTATTCAGTCTGAGATTAGAAGTAAGAAATCTCTTATGGCTGCTGCTCTGCTTCTCTGATCTTTTAGCTTTCACCCTCGAAATTTGACTCCAGGTTTTTATTGTTAAGACTAATTAGGATTGTGCTTCAATCATCCCACCTCACAGAGATAGGAAGAGACAGAGACATAGAAAGTCAAGGAAAGAGGCAGAAAGGGGCAGAGAGGGACAGAGGGAAGGAAGTACATGAGAAGGGACAGAAACAAAGAGACTAGAGCAGATAGAGAGGCAAAGAAAGACAGAAGGAAACAAGGGGAGAGAGATGAGAGACAGAGAGACACAGAGAATCAGAGACAGATGAGAGACAAGATGAGGCAGAGACAGGAGAAGCAGACACGGGAAGAAACAGATGGATGGAGAAAAAGAGAGGGAGATGTTCTCCTTCTCTATAGGCCCTGGGGCTGACCAAGTAAGTGAACCCAGGATGGTAGGCCAGCACTTGCTTTCGCTGTGCCCCACACAGAGGAGCCAGTCACGTGGGGGTGGGTCAGATGATGATAGTCTGGAGGTTCCTGGGGTGGGGCCCAAATGGTGTTCCCAGCTCAGAGCAGCAAGTCTGATACAAGACCTGGGCTTCTGTGGAAGGTGACAGAGTCCCAGCCCTGGATAGGATCTTCATCTCTGAGCTAATGCGCCACCTCTCCGCAGGTGTGGGGGCAGAGGAAGTGGATACAGGTATTGGACAGGAGGAAGCTGGGGCTCCAGGATGGAGCACCAAAGACTAATGTCCAAAGGTCTCCAGAGATAAGGCCTTTGGTGCTGCCCGGAGTCCTTGGCATTTGCTGTTTACACAGAGAGAAACACCAGTGGAGATCATAGCAAAGTGGGGCTGAAGGGAGACGGAATGTGCAGCTTGAAGAAGGCCCAGTTCTGTCTTGGTCATGAGTGGAAAGAGGAGTAAGGGGAGAGGAGAGGGGAGGAGGGGAGGGGCTAGAAGGGGGGAGGCAAGTGCTGCAGGTGGAGTCCATCCTGTTTTCTTTTTCCAGCAGCGGTGTGTGCTGCACACACTTGCACCCGGTTATACACAAGCTCATCAGGACTAGACCAGGGGGTCATGGGCTCACGGTGGAGAATCACTGGAGGATGCATGGAGAAGGCTGGGAACATTCTGTGGGGGCCATCCTGGTCCTTGGAAGGAAGGCAGCATCTGGGCCAGTACCCATGTCACCCAACATGGACACAGAACAAGAGTGGTGGGCTCCCAGTGGCCCAAGGCTTGTAGCCAGGGCTGGGACATAGATGGACAACCATGTCCAGGGTATCCTGGGTAGATATGGTAACTTCCATGTACAAAACAGTAGTATTAGGGGGCAGCTGACCAAGGCTAGCCCATTCTTCTGCATGTGACTGGCCCAATGATCTCCTTGGGTTTGCCAAGTATAGCCCCCAAGTAGGCTCAGTGTTGGAGACAGCCTTAGTATCCCCCATCATGTTCCTTCCGTTTCACACATGTGAACACTAGGACCAAGATGCAGTGCCAGTGGTCGAGGAGGCTGACCCTGGACTGCTGTGTGTCTACACTACCTTTGAGTACACAGTCCTCAGGAAAAGGTCCCAAAGCAAGTCCATCCCACCCAGGTTCACTATGGAAGTTGGTGACTGGCCTGTGTAATTTTTGGTGGACAGACTGAGTAAGCTGCAGAAGAGGCAGGGATGCCAGCTTCTCGTGTCTGCTCAGCTTCAGTGGTCCATGCTGAGCTGGAAGTTTGTGTCGCTGACAAACCTGAGAACTATCAGGAGGCAGGATATTGGGGTATACGGTCTAAGAGTATTGGATCCCCAGGGACACCACCCAGGTCCATTGTCCCCTTGTTTACTCATACCTGTCATGGTCTCTTGTCCCCCAAGAGCTTGTGGGAGACCCTTAGTTCTCTAAGTATATTTAAGCTTCCTCTGGAGGCTAGATGAGGCTAGCCTCACCTACAGGCCTTCTCTGCCAGGGTCCAGAGTTTCAGGTAAGAAAAAAACCTACCATGTGATAGTACTGCTTGTGAGAAGTCATAGGAACAAGAAGCCAGCCCTCAGGTCAGGAGGACCATCTCTGGGTCCTGCTCTTCTGAGTCCACCTAGCCCAAACACACACTTCCCTTCCTTCTGGGGGGTTGTCTGGCCTATGGAGGATGTGGGCAACACAGGCCAGAGCGACCCAAAGACACATGGCTCCTCCAAGAGGTGTTCTCCCCCACTTTACCTGAGCTGCCTCTCTGAAACCTAAGCCCAGGCCCTCCAGGAAGTAAAAGCTCAGAGCAGTGTGACCAAGGAACCGAGGTCATGGCCAGAGCCTTCTCAGCACATCCCCTCCTGTCTTCCCAGGGTTGGCACGGAGGTCTACAGTACTGCCTGATCCACAGACCACTGCACACACACCTACAGGGGCAGCACCACAGCCCCAAGGTCCCCAGGGCATTGTTAGCTCAGAGACGAGATGATCTCAGGTGTTGGGAATCCCCATGAGATTCCCACAGAAGCCTGGATCTTAGACACAGCTCTTTTGTGGAAATCCTGAACAATTCCTTGTGGGGCAGGCTCAGCCCAGCCCTTCTCTCCTAGGCACAGAACTGACAAACCTGTGCTTGTCTCCTACCCTCCGTTCATGTGGCACCTCCACATCCCTGCAGAGCCGGGGAATATAGGGGAGCCTGAGGGTGCCCTGCCTGGGTGGAAGTTGGAGGAAGGCCAGGGTCTGTTTTTCTGACCTGAAACTGCTTGCTGTGGGGGGTCTCTATATCCAAATCAGGCCCTGGGAAAGTAGAGGGGACCCAAGGACAGGAGGTTGGAAAGCCTTGGGCCAGTTTTGTTTAGGTCAACTGGATAGCAAAACCTGGGACTGTCTGCTCTCTCATTTGCTGCGGAGCCTGGCCTGAGTGAAAGGTCCTGGCAGAGTCATAAACAGCCAACCTACACATCTCCACATCAGCACGGTGGCTGTGACAGCTTCCCATCACAATGCCAGTGTGTGTCCACACAAACTGGAAGTCAAGAAAGCTCCTGAGTCAGAGAATCCCGCTTAAGAGAAGAATGCCTGGAACCCCACCTGTGGCACACCCCAGGCCCAGCAGAGCCAGTTTCTACAGCGGCCAGGCCTGCCCATACCGCCACTGACAGTACCACGTCAGGAAGGCAGAGCCTGGGCTCCGGGTGAGGAGGCAGAAGCTCCTCTGAACGCTCAAGGATGCTTGTGAGTTTGTGGTGTGTGTGTGTGTGTGTGTGTGTGTGTGTGTGTGTGTGTGTGTGTGTGTGTGTGTGTGTGTGTTTCCTAGGTGCAGCAGCCCTTGTGGGGCTGGGGCTTTAAAAATCTGGAGTACCAACTGGCAGGAGTTTCTGTGATGTAGGAACCTATGGGGCAGCTATACCGGTGGTCTCTGTGCCCCAGCTATGCCCTCCTGAGTCACCGGGAAGTGTGCTGTGGAACAAGGGTCTGGGTCTGGGTCTCTCTGAAAGGGAGGTGCCGCTGGGGAATCATGGGGCCTGGCTGGGGAAGCCAGTGTTCTTTTAAAGGCTGCCACACAAGCCGAAGCTTGTGAGTCACTGAGTGTGGCAGCTCTGCTCGGTGTATGCTGGTCCAGGACCAGCCAGGAGTCCAACAAGACAGGCTCCATCCATGCCCACTGTCCTCTGAGGATCATCCTTTGGATCCCAGCTCTCCCTCTTCCAACTGGACCATACAGTAACCTCCTGCAAAGTGGGTGAGTGTTCGATCCTCAGGGAGGGGTGTCAACCAAGGAACTAGCCATACCATCCTCATCTCCAGGGGGAGATTGTTCCCACATAAACCACCCAATTCACATGGTGAAGGAGGCACACATGTCTCTCATTAACGTGAGACCATTGGCCTACCTCTTCCTTCCCTGTCTGTGACCCTCTTAGATGCTGAATCCTGGAAAATGTCCATCCTGTATCCTTGGTCCATGTTGTTAGTCTTGGGCTCCTACATTAGCCTCAACCCATACCACACCCATGCCCCAACCTGGGTCCCGGCTCCTACCTCCTCCATGGCTCTGGCAGAGGTAGGGAAAGCGCCACACGTTGCCCAGCCCCACGCAGAAACCCACACAGGTGAGCATGTACTGGGCCTTGTTGTCCCATTTGGGCCGGGAGTCGGCCTCTTCCTTTTCAATGACCTCTAATTCATCCAGAGACGGAATCCGGTCCTCCAGGCCAGGGTTGGGCAGCACAAGCCTCACCATGGTGGTCGCTGGGTTGGGCCTGGCACACACAGGCAGTTCAGCAGCCAGAGGGCAAGTGGTGGTAGCCAGGCGCCCTGGCTCTTTATAGAGAACCTTTGGCACCTCACCCCAAGCACCTGGGCCGAAAGGAGGCGTCAGCAGATCCACAGGGTGCGTCCTCAGTGCTGTTAATGCCTTATCTGCAGAGGCACCCAGCCCAACCAGCTAAGCCACCCCACTCCAAACACCGACAGGAGGTCCTGTTGAAGGTCTGACCACCCCTCCCCCTATACAAACCCAGACGTAGACCAGGGTGGGGTGTGGAGGGGGCAGTGCCAGACCCACTCCCCAGGAAAGAGAGAAGGACCTCCACCAAATAAATCAAATAGCTGGTGTCTGTTGCGGTCCTGTGCTGACCAGCAGGATGCTGGTTCTCCCCAGACTATCGGAGCTCCCAGAAATCTGTTCCACCTATAGAAAGCTGAGCAGGGCCTTGCCCACCCCGTCATTTTCCTGAAGGTGGCTGAAGGCTTGTTCAGTAGTTGCTGCTCACATGAAGTGCCACAATACGGCTTGGGTTCCTCCAGGCATAGCTCTGGGCTCCAAATGCTCCTCAGAGGGCCCATGGCTAACCCCAGCATCTGGAGCCCTGCAGGATTTCCGTTCTTCCAGGGAGCACTTAGAGGATGAGGAGATTGCTTGCGCTGATGCCAGGCAACGATGGCGATGAGGCCCTGTCCCCAGCAGCGCAGCCAGCTGGAGAGATACAGAGGAGCCAGTATCTCATCTAGGATAGCCACCAGGTGCCAGGGAAGGTTGAGGGTAACGGGCCTTACTAGGCCTTTGAGGCTAGAAAGCCAAGGAGAAGTTCCCAGGGGTTACACTAAGACAGATGCAGAGACAGGGTTCATGCCATGCTAGCTTTGCAGGGTAGGATTTGGGTGGGGTACGCCCTCTGTCCGGAATATGTCCCCTCAGTCTCCCCTGCCTACCCATGACTTGCCCACCCCTGGGAGCTCTCCTGAGCTTCCTGAGGGCAAAGGATAATGCTACCCTGTGCCCCTTCAGTCCTCTCTATGCCCCTCCCACCTGCCTTGGTCCAGCCTCAAGGGTCAGCTCCCCAGGAGGGCCCTTCCCGGACTCTGCTGATCCACCCTCCCCCACATCATGTCCTTGCCACCCATGACCTTCCTAGAACTCACAGGACTTTCTATTTTCTATGATTTTCTATGATCTTTCTTCCTTTAAATTGTTCTCCCTTTAAAAATAAATGATGATAGGACTTTTAAATTCTGCCTCTGCTTACTTATTTCATCAGTGATCCCCACCACTAAATGATAAAGCCCCAAAGCCCAGCTTTCTCTGCTTCCCTTACATTAGCTCCCGCTGATGTTCCTGAATAACAGAGATGGAAAGGGGTACCACTCAGGGCAGAGCAAGTTCAGGGGTCTGACCTTTGGCCGAACACACTGGAAAACTCTGATAGGGTGGAGGCCAGAGAGGAGACAAAGTTTACATTTGGAATATCAGAATAACAGAAGGAGAGGGTGAAGAAAGGGCCAGAGACCCAAAGCTAGAGGCAGGAAAAGATCCAGAGAGACAAAGATAAAGAGAGACAGAGACATGAAGGAAGAGTCTGAAAGACAAAGAGACATGACAGAGATAAAGAAAGACACAGGAACAGAGATGGATACACAGACAGGCAGAGACCAAAAAAAGACCCACAGAGACAGAGATAGAGAGGGAGAGATGGAGACCAAGAGAGATACACAGGGAGATAAATAAAGACACCCAACACAGAGATACAGAGACAAACAGAGAGAGGCACAGAGGGGTTCAAAGACAGACATAGAAAGACAGAGACAGAAACAATGAGATGGTGGTGGAGACACAGAGAGATAGAAAGAGATAGAAATAAAGACAAAGAGACAGACACTCAGAGATACAGAGAGACAGAGAGACAGCAATACGAAGACATAGAGGATGGGACACCCAGGCCAGGTGGTGAGATCTGGGGACAGGGAATGAAAGATCATGTGTAGAGGGAAAAGAGGTAGCCTGGCCCAGAAGACCAGCAAGGAGGCTACAGCGAGGACCCAGGCCTGCTCTGGATATGCAGTGTGAGGCCTATGGAAGTGTCTGGAAGGACTCTGTCCATACAAAACTCTCTGAACAGACCAGACTTTTCCCTCCCCTTAGACGCTTCCACAGAAGAAATGAGATAGAGGAACTGGGATATGGAGTCATGTCACCTGGGCAACAGCCTATGTGATCAGTGCAGAGGCCTTACATCCTGTGGGTGAGTTGCACACAAGCTGTCTAATGCCAGCCATTTCCTGAGAAAATGGCGGAAATGACTCTGGCTGCAAGGCTGGTGCCCAGGCTGAGTGCACAGGCAAGGCTCTGTGCCAGGACTGGTCCAGATGGGGATTTTCCTATGAGCCCTATGGGACCCTATCATTACCACCTGTTTTCTGAGCACCTCCTCAACCCTGCGTGTGCTGATGCCAGGTGTCCCTCCTGCCTAACAACCCTAGTGGGCAAATGAGATCGGGGGCAGCTGTCTAGGATGAGAGCCAAGCTTTTTCAGTCTGGGGACCTGGCCTTTTGGCTGGGCATGGAGTGAGACTTAGGCAGATGCTGCCATTTGTGATGCCACTATTAAGGGTCTCGTGGTGCCCCTGCTTTTTTGCACAGTCCAGAGGCAGCCTTCCATGACCTCAGCTCCTCAAGTGTAGAGCAGCCCAGAACAGCATTTGCATTGCCCAGATATGGATACAGGATCTTGCTTCCTGCTCAGAATGCTCCATCGTCACTATCAGCAGAGACCACCAGCCTCCAGGTGGTCAGCAGGGTGCTGTCTGCCGGGCGCTCAGTCAGCTCTGTGGCTTGTTCTTAGGCCTCATCCCCTTGAGGCCCCCCTAAGTCTCTCTTTTTGCACAGTGCTGTTTCTTTCCCAGGCTATACAGCTTACAGGTTCTAAGCAAACTGATCACACATACAGTGTGCCAGAGTCCTGAGCTGGTGCCTAAGGCTGGTGAATCCAGATGTGTGGGTCCCTTTCCAGTGTAGCTGGAGACCCACATATCCAGCCCCAAATAACTTCTCCAGTTTTTGCCTCTCCCTTCTCACCATGTCCACAGGGCCAGCTCATCAGGACTGCAGGAGACTGGCCACACAGGGCCTTCCAGACAGGCAAGTTCCTTTCCAGAATCTGGGACAGTGAGAGGGTGGGGTGGCCATGTGAGCCTTTTCACTTCTACTAGAGCAGCACTTGAAAATAATAAAGAAAAAAGATTAAAACCTGCAGAAAATATTGTCACCCCAGTCTTCAAATCTCAATGTCCAGGAAAGGTGGAAGTTTCCCTCAGCACCTGAGCTAAGGAGGTGATCTGGAGCAAACAGGACAGGAAGGGTCCTGCCAAGGGTCCTGCAGAATGGCCTCCATTCAAGCAGCCCCCTTAGTGGCCCTGTGGTAGCACTTGGGAGCAGGTTGCTAGTTCATGTTCTCAGTGACACTTTTTTCTATAAACACAATGCCTACTCCATTGAGAAGACGAGTGTTTCCAACTCCAGACTGGAGAAGACACAGTGATTCCTCTTTGTCCCTTAGTTCACTGTTGAGTGAAGAGGATACTCTGTCCCTCCATCCCTCCCTGCTTCCCTCCTAAGTCCCAATATCTATACCTGATTTTAACACCGTATCTTGACAATTTTCCTTTCATGAATTTTTCAAATAGTTTAAATAGCTTTTAATTCTTAGATAGCTTTAAAATTACACTTTTATTCGGTTTTTCTTCCAAGTACCATTTCTGAGTTGTGACACAGTGAGTTCTTAGCATACTGGGTACCCATAATTCTTTACCAAAACTTCCTGAGTACAGCCCATCTGATTTCAGCCTCCCCTGTGTCCACACTCTACAGTTTGTGTTCATAGTGTCTCCCACGGGCCATTTGCTGCAGCTTGGTCCTTGGGTGGCAGTGCTGGAAGGGATGGGACCTGTGGAAATGGGGTTCAGGGAGGCCTTAGGTCACTGGGAACACGGCCTCAGAGGGGAAGGTAGGAGCCTGGTCTATTTCTTTACATTATTTACATTGTGGAGGTTTTGCTCCGCCATATGAGTTTGTCATGATATGACTCAAGAGCAACAGACTACCCATGGACTAAAGCCTCCGAAACTGTGATCCTAAACAAGCCTTTCCTCCTTATAAGTGGATCATCTGAGGAATTTGTTACAGTGACAGAAAGCTGGTTGGCTCATTTTTTTTTCCAGGTGAATGACTCTTCATGATGTTAATAGAGTTATGTAATTATCACACAGGTCAAGACCCAGAACATTCCATAATTCCAAAGCCCCTCTTCTAACCCAGGCATTTGACCCCTCCTTCTGAGACTGTACATTTGTTGTGTAGACTCTTGAGCATCATGAAGCCCCCATGCAGTCTTAGCTTGTCACCCCGCACTATCACGAAGTCAGATGAGTGTACAGTAACCACCGTTCCCACCCATCCTGGATGCAGTGCTCCTGAAGGACATGCTTCAGCTGTACACCATTCTGTTGCTGTGTAGCTAGGGTCCGGTGGTTTTCTTCATTGTACCAAAGCCACCATTGCTTCTTGGCACATACAAGTCTGTTTTTCTTCAGCCACACATCCATGAGATTACCACTGCCTCCCAAGTCTCAGACAACTTGTAAGGTGCTGCCAGGCCTGGGAGCAGCTCAGAAGGGTGCACAAAGCCCTGGCTTTGATTTCTAGTATTGCAAATGATGATGGTGATGATGATGATGATGATGATGATGATGATGGAGAAGAAGAGGAAGAAGGAGGAGAAGAGGAGGAGGAAGAAGAGGAAGAAGAAGTTGTTAAGTCCAGCATGGTGGTACATGCCTATAATCCTAGCACCTGGGAGGCAAAGCTGGAGGATTAGGAGTTTAAGGCTAGCCTGGGCTACATATTGAGACCCTGTCTAAAAAAGTGCTGCCAAAACATTTATAAGAACAAGAGGCCATTCCCCAGACCCCTCAGGGCTACACTGGTCCCCCCATGCTCTACGCCTCTTGTGCTCCTCTTACACT